ATAATAGCTGATACGACAATGTCAGTACAGGAGCTGCATTCTTGGTATATGGTATTTGATAATTGCAATGGGATTCTGTAATATAAGGGATTACTGATCCCAGCAACACCAAACAGGGATGCATGTTGCCATAACAAAAGGTTTCTTAGACTTTATTTGAATGCAGGAAGGGGTTTGTAATTTCTTGGACTAACCTTAATAATAGAGGCAAAAATAAAACAACCAACTTTCTACATTTATTGTAATGGAGTTACATCTAAATGGAAACGTGGGATTGTAGAAATGCATATTTATCATAAAATTGCCGATACTAAATCACATATTCTACAAATAATATCTATAGAGGAACCTCTTGTCTTAAAAGCACAACCCCAAATAATCATTGTTAAATTTTTATCAAAATACTATTCTTCTCTGCTTTTTTGTAATAATTTTATGCTCAAAATTGGTTTCCAAAGAAACCAAGGCGCTCGCTCTCACTTACGTCTCGGACTTTGTCCGAGACTTCTCTCACTTGATGTAAATAAAAAAGGCCTGATCAATTTCATATACATTCATTTAACAATATCTTTGATATCATCTATGAAATTTCAAGAATCTAAAGATTACAGCAACCAATCTAAATGAGCTGTGCCGTGGTTTGCATATCATTAATCTTTTGTTTCCGTAAGTTATGTATGACCATGATAGCAAATTTGACCTCAACTAAATGAGTGTCAATATAAACAACTAAATGAGTAATATAGTAAGCTAAATGGGTAATAATGTCAACTAAATGAGTAATATAGTAAGCTATTTTATAATTAACAAGCCGGTACCTAGTTTATAGTTTAGACAAAATTTATAAGGTGATCTGTAAAAAATGTCTTGTCATCTGAAAATAATTGCTAAAATTTGAATTAACCAAAATTTGAACAAACTCATTTACCTTATTCTAGTGACTGAATCCCAATCTAACATGTAACAGCTGGTATTTCTTGGAACGGGGGTACTGTTTACTTCTCGATCTCGTTGTGGCAACAGCAATCGGAAGCTATTGCAGTTACAATTGCGAACCTGTGATACAAAACATTAATCAAATCAAAAGTAGAACATTCAAACATAACAAACTTTGGAAATACTTAATACATGCCATATCGGGCCCAGTGTAGTAAAATAACAAAAAGTGAACGTAAATTACTAAATTATGAATGCGTCTGAAAATGAGTCAGGCAAAAAATTTGTTTGCCACCATGCAATGCGGATTGCGGAAGTTGAAAATTTTATGAAATGACATGTTTGCAAAGTGCAAACCGCGATTTTTTAATCAAACAAAAATTTATGACATTCGAGCCGCGAGATTTCATACCTACTGAAATTATATGATATTAGAGCCGCGAGATTTCATACCTACTGAAATTATATGATATTAGAGCCGCGATATTTCAGACAAAAATAGGACTTTTCCAGACTAGCTGTACTGAGTATTACGTCTGTTCCTCCACAAACTGCTCGTGCGCGGCAGCGTGACGTAGAATTGATGGCCGGGATCATAGTGGCAAACCAGAGCATTTTTAGAATCAGTTCATTTTTAATTTCCTCATTTACTCAAGATTTAAACCAATTTCTCAAGTATGATAATGCTGGTATCCAGGATACTTTACTGGCATAGTGGCAGAGCAGAGAGTTTTTTAAACTCTGCCTCAAGTTCATTTTTGAGTCCCATAAGTAGACCAGTAAAGTATCCTGGATACCAGCATTATCATGCATAATAAATTGGTTTAAATCTTGGGTAAATGAGGAAATTAAAAATGAACTGATTCTAAAAAATCTCTGGTTTGTCACTATGTTTACTAGTTACTGGTCTACCAATACTGGCAATAGGACTCAAAAATGAACTTGAGCCTTTGAGGAAGAGTCTAAAAAACTCTCTGCTTTGCCACTATCATCATGGCACTATGGCCGGGATTGCGCGAACACGTGCGCGAAGAGAATCAATTTTCATTACATTGCACCAACTGTGAACAGCAATGGCTTAAAAAAAGTGAAAATGCGCGGGAAAATTCACCGAAAACATACATCATCCTGAGTGTGGGACATCACTAATAATTCACTATTTCAACCATCAAAGAATGCATGGAACTAAGACAAAGCTTAATATAAAGGAAAAACTAGAGAAGTGTCAGAATTACCCATGATGTTGGAATATACCGTGTTTACCCTACCAATTCAAGAATTTAAGACCCATACCAATTCAAGAATTTAGGACCAGGGTGGAATTCTAGAAATGGAAGTTCACTTATAAAAAAGCTTTCCACCCAAGGTGGAATGCTTTCCTTAGATACAGTGCTCTGCCAAGTGCCAGGTGACTGACTATAAATGAAAAGGAGGATCAAAAGTGGACAAACTGTTTCAATTGTACAGTACCTCAGATTTGTTGTAAAATTGTTTGATAGATATTTTCTATTTTTCTTTGATTTAATGGATTTTTTGAAAATTATCCAGGCTTTTTGTTTGTAATGATCAAGTTCAAGTTGAGTATTTAGTTATTCGTTACTGTGTACTGTAGACATATACCATATTTGGGGGTGGGGCTTATGGGAACAACCAATCACAGCTTGAAAGCACCTCCATCAACCAATCACAGCTTGAAAGCATCCCCATCAACCAATCACAGCTTGAAAGCATCCCCATCAACCAATCACAGCTTGAAAGCATCCCCATCAACCAATCACAGCTAGAAAGCAGATAACATAACAATTCCATTAACCAATCACAGCTGGAAAGCTGGAAGGGGATAAAATCACAATCCCATCAACCAATCATGGCTGGAAAGTGATAGGTTATGTATATGATATGATGGACTGAAAGTGGAAAGTTCCTGGCCTTTCCAAGCTTTCAGGTCCTGCTTTCCAATATGCTATGTGTACTGGTTAATTTAATATCCCTCTAGAATTCCACACTGTAATTAGGACCCTTACCAACTCTAGTACAATTTATTAACTAAAAATGAACATTGGCTGATTTTGGCTCAATGTCATCAGTCAACAGTCAACACAATTTGAATTTGTAACATCAGGCTGAATTTTTCAAATATCATAGAGTTTCATTTATTTTTATTATAGTTTGAAATCATGAAATTATAGTTAGGCTAGGTAGGTACATGAATTTTTTGGTGATTCTCCAAATCAAAGGTTAAAATAAAAAAAAGTTAAATATACAATTTTTTTATACATAGCTAGGTTTTTCACACTATGAAAGAATTGTGTATGGGATCATGGGCCCATTACCCATAGCCATAGGAAACTAAGGAAAGGAGGAAAATTCCCAATTACTGAATTAGCTATTCTGTTTTGCTTAACCTTGGTTTCCTAGCAACATAGTGGCAAAGCAGAGAGTTTTTTAGACTCTCCCTCAAGTTCATTTATGAGTCCTATAAGTAGACTAGTAAAGTATCCTGGATACCAGCATTATCATACATAAGAAAGTGGTTTAAATTTTGATTAAATGAGAAAATTGAAAATGAACTGATTCTAAAAAATCTCTGGTTTGTCACTATGCCTAGCAACCAAGAAAGGTAGGTATTGCCGTATTGCGGTATTGACTGAGGCATAGGTAACCAACAGTCTGGATCTGCCTCATTATCAAACGATTCAACTCATCGTCATCGAACATCATCCAACTTCCTACTCCTAGAACCAAATGAATAGCAATTAGCTTTCCCCTACCAACTAGGGAAAAGGCGAAAAGCTAATTGTACAACTAGTGAACTACCCACAACCATTCATACCAACGTCTATTAAAAAACTGTCCAGTGACCTACGCCTACGGTAGTATAGTAGAAGATGATAAACTTGATTTAGTGGTTCTTCTTCTTCGATCTATGAATAAGGTACCTGGGAGGCTGGGACAAATGACTTCAGGCGAATGAAGCCTTGCCCTAATAATAATAATGCCCTTTGTTACGTTTGCTAGTCGTATGACTAAGTCCAGGCTAGCTATAAGGATGAAGATGAGCAGAGACGAGACCATAGGTTTAGGGAACTGTATTTGGTGGAATCTGGTATACAACTTAATTATTAGAAGGCTTGCTGGCCTTACATGACCTACTATTGACAGCATAGTAGTTCTACTCTAATTTGTTCAATACGTAAACACGTAACACCCTTGGTTGAACCATGAATGAGGCGATGTGTTTGTTGCAACTCGTCCGCTTTTGAGTTATGGTCGTATTTTAATATATCACTATTATATAGATGTATTTAAATTTATTTCAAAGCTTCAAACTTTCTATTCCACATTTTTTCAGATTAATAATTGTTCAATGGCTGATTTGATATAGCATATACTATAGGGCACTGCATTTCCTGTATATAGTATATTATATACTCCATTAATTCCGTTGCCATTGTCGTCGTTATCTCGAAAACATTGATGAATTATCTTTAGGAAATGAATCATCCTCAATCGGAGAGCACTTTTATCATGGTTCAAATATACACAAGTAATTTAACCGGTGTCGAACCGGTCCGACACTTCAGCGGAATCGGTAGTAATTTAGTCAGTCGAAGTGTCGTACGGTCTACATTCGAGAGTACGGAGAACGCAAAGCGATTGCAAACACTATTAATTGGCACTCTTTCGTTCTTTTTTTCGGTAGAATGTTAAGAGCAACATACATTTATGAATCACTATAGGCTAGTATAGGTTAACAGTCAGTTATTACTTGTCGAGAGAAATATAATGCTCATTGCTCGTAACCATGTTAGCTCTCGGTTCAAGTTTATTGAGCATTAAATTTGAGATTCCCAATTTCAATATCCAACAACCATATTTGTCTGGAAGTTTTAAAAATATAATTAAAACAACTACCCACCAGATATTTTAATAAAATATATGCCGCATATTTAATTCAAATGATTTTCAAAAAACGCGATTTCTCATTCTCGCTTATGATATAAATACATATTTCTATCCAAATTTTCTATAAGTATTCTCACTCGAACCAAACTTTCTTCGTGCATGTGCAAAATCAGCAGGAAGTGTCCATGAGATTACCTTGCAAGCGTGAGTTAGACGTCGTTCAGTTCGCACTCTCGTTAGCTTATCACCGATTCTATCATAGGTAGGGAACATCAAGATGGCCGAGAACGAATTAGATTGTGATAGTATAATACGCCGTCTTTTAGAAGGTAAGAGTATGTACGATAAAAATTTTGATTATTTTCTCATAACTCGATCTCCTAATCTATTTTAAGTGATCTTTATGTAATCATATAGCAATGCCAAAAGCGGCCTATTAGCAGGTTAGAGTTTAGACGCTTGAACTTTAGCAAATTGCTAACGTATTGTCAACCATAATAACTTAGGTAGCCACAGCACCCACTTACATATATAGCCGTCTTCTGAGTGGAAATGTTCTATTTTGTTAAAAGACCGAGCTACAACATTTCATTTTAATTGAAAAGCGTTTTGGTTATGTATTAATCGAGCCAAAAATTTTAAATTTAAAAATTTGTTTCTGAACTTCTGACCAGAATTATCAGAACCATGGCATACTAGCTATGTTCTGAACTTCTGGTTTCTATTGACAAGCTTCTAAGGGGCACTGGCCTGCGCTGGCAACTTAGCCTATGTCACTGGCACTCACTGGCAGTATTTTATACTTCTGTTAGTACTTCATAGAAGAAATTAGGCACTTACCTAGGTATTCCCTGTTACTGTTAGTACTTTATAGGAGAAAATACTAAAAAGACCTATTTCCCTATGGCCTATCCTTCATGAATCATGAATGTATTTTAAACTTGAACCAACCTACAGTCTGGATTGAAATTTTCTTTCTGAAATATCACGGCTTCAATGTGACATACCATAAAATGGGGTAACTTAGACCACTTCTTTTTTTATAAATGATGCCATTTTTTTACTAGGGTAAACGCGGTATATTCCAACATCGTAGGTAATTCCGTCACTTCTCTAGTTTTTCCTTTATATTAAGCTTTGTATGGCCAAGACCTAGTGTTTTTGCAGTATTTCGACTCGCAAATGTATGACGTCACCATTTCAACCATCAATGAACGCATGGAACTAAAACAAAGCTTAATATAAAGGAAAAGCTGGAGAGGTGACGGAGTTACCTACGAAGCTACGATGTCGGAATATACCGCGTTTACCCTAGTTTGCAAATGGGGGGCACCACCCCATAATGAGGGAAATGTGACTACCTAATGGCAGCCCTGATGGGGTAATATTGACTGGCTTGGCAAATTAAGTTAAAATTAACATATATAAGACTCTGTAGAGTCTGAAACATAAAGAAAAAACATAAATATGCTGTCAAACATAAAATATGTTATATATGGTAATTTTATATTAACTTCCAAGCCAGTCTATGTTACCCCGTCAGGGCTGACATTAGGTGATCTAAGTTACCCCATTTGGGGGTGGTGCCCCCCATTTGCAAACTATGACACTTTCCTAAAATTTGTCATTTGCATATGTAACTAGAAGAGTTCTACTATAATGCATCAAAACCTGGAGTTATTTAACCAAAAAATAAAAAAATTGGAGGGGGTACTCTGACAGGCTTTAAATAATAGCTTTTTTCATGGGTCACATTTTTAATTTTTTAACCTATTAGATATGCAAACTTTTCAAATCTTTCTATTGTGTTATGTAGCCTCAGTATTTGGCCTTTAATGCCCATTGACAAAATTTTTCTATGTCAAATCTTCAACCCAATCATGCACTTCAGTGATCAGTCAACAAATAGATATGAGGTAATTCATCTAGCAGGAATCCTGTCATTCCTGTGGTCCATAAAAGTGTGGCTGGAATGGAAAGCTCAGGTTGCCATCCCAAAGTTAGTTATTTTCCTCTCTAGGGTCTAGCCTACAAGCAGGTCAAGCTTGGAAAACATCTACCTACCTTTAGGGCCATGACCAGAGCTTTCCTGCCATTTCTGGAGCTGCAAGATTTCCGCTAGATGAATTACCTCCAATCAAATTGTCAATAAAATTGCATGACCGGGCTGCAAGATTCCAAATGTATTAAAAATTTGTCACTCTGGAGCTATGAGATTTCAGAAACGAGTAGGAAAATTCCAATCCTAAAATGTCGGCTCAGATTGGGATAAGTTCAACTTTGTGTTGAAATATTGTAGCTCTAATAACATATAATTTCAGTAGGTATGAAATCTTGCAGCTCCAATGTCATGTATTTTTGTTAGATTGAAAAAATTGCAGTTTACACTTTGCAAACATATTGTTTAATAAAGTTTTAAACTTCCACAATCCATATTACTTAAACGCTCCTGCCAAAATATTCTGCAGAACCTAAAAACAACAAGTCAACCCAAAACGTTTCCTTGAAGATAGTGTAGTTGCAGTCACATCAGTGACACACGTGTTACTTTGTAAATAAGTTTGCAGCTTGTAAATGGCTTTTCGTGCCTGAGATATGGAATTCATGGCTTGAAGAAATGGAATCATGGCTGGCAAACCTATAAAACCATGGCTCAAAAATCCTGGCTCACAAGAAGATATATTCCATGCCTGAGTCTGTGAGTCAGGTCAAGTCATGCAGATGTGGAATACATCTACCTTATGAGCTTCAGCTAGAGCTTCTCCGCCAATTTTAGATCCATGGGATTCCTACCTGATGAATTATTTTCCTTCTATGTAATTGCTAACAAAAGTGCACATTGCCTGCTAGTGCTAGAAACACATAAAAATAATGACCAGAGAATGCATTATATTCCAATTCGCAAGCAATCAAAACTCTTCAGAGGATGTTAACATATCAAAGGGTAGGTCTTGGGCCCTTGGCAAGTATTTATAATATATTTAATGATGTTTTGAATGTATCAAAAGTCATTTCTAAGTTAATAGAAGCATTGAATAATGAAATTTTGGTTCACATAAGTACAAAATACATGTAAATAGGATACAAGAAAATTTTAATCACTCTGAAAACTATCTCAAAGTTCAGACAATTTTGCTAGTTTGAAAACAGATGACTGAGATTGGCCAGCCATTGTCGGTCGGTTAGTATTGAGTGCCACTGCACAATGACGATGATGGTAGTTTCCTGCATTGTGACGATCATTGTGCTTTTCCTGTGGTGACAGTCCACACTGTGAGCAACGGTCTTGTGAGCTTGTCTCGAGGGGTTCCCCTGTCCTCCAGACTGTAAGGGGCAGGTGAGATGGTCTCAGTGTCATGGTTGTTAGTCCAATAACTCCAATCTAGTTCAAATGATGAAGTCTACAACCTTCTTTGAAGCAAAATTTACAGATTGCATCGGCTTCTTGGAGAACTCTTGTTTTTTGCAAGGTCCGTTATTTCAGATAGTCCGGAGCTTGACATTTTTGTCAAAGGTATCACCAAGCCAGTTGAATTTGGTGCTAATTTGAGATGAAGTTGTTTGTTTAAAATACTCAAAGTTGTAGTTGTTGGTCTGATTACTCCAGTGTCGTCCAAATTAGGAAGAAGTTTACTACCTTCTTTGAAGCAAAATTTACAGTCTACACCAGCTTCTTGGAGAATTCCCGCTTTTTTGTAAGGTCCATTGTAATCTATAGTCCAGAGCCTAACATTGTCAAAAGTGTCACCAAGCCAGATTCATTTATCAATGATCACAAGATGAAGTTGCTTGTTTTTAATACTCGTAGTTATTGGTATTCCTCCAATGCAGTACAGATTAGGAAGTTGACAATATTCTTTGAAGCAAAATTTTATAGACCACACCAGCCTCTTGGTTGATATCTGCTTCCAAGTATTGGTCATTGCTGCCTATAGTCTGGAGTTTGACACATCATGGGTTTTACAGAGCCTGTTCAATTCATTGATAATCTTGAAATGAAATTGCTCGACTTTAATTCTTTGAGGTAATTTGAGATATTTTTTTGTCTTGAAATTTCATATTTTTGATTTCGCTTCTAATTAGTTTATTTCTGTATTGCAGTTATCATTTCATCTCCTGCTGCCAGGTCATGAGTGCAAGAGTTGAAATATAATGCATTCTCTGATCATTATTTGTACATGTGTTTCAATAAGAAAATTCTGCCATCTAATTCTAATTGCCTGCTGGAGTGTACAATTGCCAGGCTTCATATATTCATATTCAATATATTGTCTGAAATCCTTTCAAACTTTGTCAGCTCCTTATTTAGAAAAATGTGCCAGGTGCGCAGGATATAGTGGTAAAGCAGAAAGTATATTAGACTATCCTTCAAGTCCATTTATAAGTTCTATAAGTAGACCAGCAAAGTATCATGGATACCATTACCAGCATCATCATACACAAGATATTGGTGCAAGTCTTGAATGAATGATGAACTTAAAATAAACTTATTGTAAAAAATCGCTGGTTTGCCACTATGGTGCAGGAATTAGCCTGTTTAATTCATTTCCTTGAAACAACAGGGATTTTTCAGATCTAGTAAATGTATGGTTGGTTTCTTAACTTCCTTTATGCTACATAGATATGAAAATGTTGGACTTTATGCCGCTCTTTTTAGTTTTGTAATATTTCAATTAGTTTTACTGCTATAACATTTTTATGCCATGGTGGAGCACTGTCTCAATTTAGCCTGCCCATCTCTTATTGCCCCGTTTGATCATATGCCAGACATAGATTAATGATCTTTTAATTATCTCATTTGCAAGTTATTGTGCATCACTTAATTTCATCAGTTTAATCTCTAGCTCTGGTTTAGGTGCAAGCCCATCAAATAGGAATTATTATCCAGCTGAAAGGCTCTATCTCCAGGCACAGAATGGGCAGGACTCTCACTCAGGTTTAGAGAGCCACTCCCTGCCTTAATGCTCATAGGATTTTCTGGAATCATATTAGGTGTTGAGACAGCTGATAAAGTTACAAAAATATATTCTACACAAGGCAACCCATTATCTGCTAGGCATATAATTTCCAAACCTCAGTGTTTGGAAACTATTACCTATTCAACTTTCATGTGTCTTTGGCTACCAAGCTCATGTAGCATGGGTTTAGAGTTTAATGAAGACAACAAAAATCTTCCCCATCATCCCAATCATGAGAGTTCATTTATTGCATGGGCAGACACATTGAGTTACATATTCAGAAGTTTGGATAATGCATTCCATTCTGGACCACAGTGTCAAATATAAACATCTCTATTATTTTGGGTCAACATAATAATTATGAATGGGAAGTAGGCATATACATTATGGCATAAATTTATGAATTCCAAATGCACACAATGACTATGTTAGCATGTCAGTCTGTCAGATATGTTCAGAACTTCAGCAAATGTTTTTAAAAACTCCACAAGTGACCAAGATAGCTCATCCATTTTAAAATGCATACAAGTTTTGATAAGCATTCTATTCTATACACAGAGTAGCTTAAGCTTCAATCACCTAGTTTGTTGATCAACATATGTGGTTGATCTAGTTGTGCACATTTTTATTGTCAAAAATAATGATTGCTTGAATTAATATCAAATAACTAACTATTGAATAACTAACAAATTTCTAGCTTAGTGGTGAGTAGTGTTACTAACTAGGTTGGTAATAATTTATCTCACATTCATATTTGTTTTAGTTCGCGGTTGCCGACCTGGGAAGTCTGTACAGCTGACAGAAACTGAAGTGCGAGATCTCTGCATCAAGAGCCGTGAAATATTCCTGCAGCAGCCAATACTGCTGGAGCTGGAGGCTCCTCTTAAAATATGTGGTAAACTTATGTTGCTTTACTTAATTAAGCATCATTCTTTAGGTACTTATATTATCAGTCTGCTTATATTGCAAGTTCGTTTTCAATATTGATATGTTAAATTTGTTTGGTGTTTTCTTTGCTTTTAAATTCCTTGTGATCATTCTTTAAGCTGTGTACATCAGTAATGGAATTTTATCAATTGCCTCAGTGAAGTGAATGAGCATGTAAACTTATCATTTATTGTTTAAATTCATATTATTTATCTTCTTTTACTACTCCTACCAGTTGTGGAGCTCAGTTTATCTGCTTAATCTTTAAAGAGCAAGAAAAATAATTATTCTATTAGCGCCAATTGGCAAAATTCTAATTCTCAAGTAATGTAATTGTAGACTTAAATTCCGTACATGTATCTACACATAATATTATGCTTTTATAACAACTACTTATTGACTTCAAGTAAAAGAGTTCATTGATGTAAAATAATAGCTCTGAAATATTGAGGATCTATATTTATCTATGGGTGATATGTGTTAGACATATGTTACTGCACAACTTATATTCAACAACAATGGTATAAATGTTGTCAGAAAATGTCAACAGCATCTCTCTGAATGCAGGAGACATCCACGGCCAGTATACAGACCTGATGCGCCTCTTTGAGTACGGCGGCTTCCCTCCTGAAAGTAACTACCTTTTTCTGGGCGACTATGTGGACCGAGGCAAGCAGTCACTTGAGACCATCTGCCTCTTGCTGGCTTACAAGATCAAATATCCTGAGAATTTCTTCCTTCTCAGAGGCAACCATGAGTGTGCATCCATCAACAGGATATATGGCTTCTTTGATGAGTGTCAGTTTACCGATAAATTTGACCATGTCTTGTAACTGGTCCATCCACACTTGAATTTATTCCCTTATTTTGATAGTCAGAAATGCTTTTCATGTATAGTATGAGTTAAGTGATAGGCTAAATAGTATTTATTAAGTGCTCTGGATGTACATCATAGAACCTTTAATTAAAAGATTGGTTTCTTAAAAACTGTAGCCTAATTTTTTTTTCTTACCATAAATCTTGAAATAATTTGGTACCTATTGCTTTTATTAATATTGGCATTACTGAGAGTACATTTCTTTGTCAGGTATGCTTGAATTTTCTCCTTATCTTGTATTATATATACAATCACTGAAAGTCACTAGCAAGATGCACCTCGATAGTGGGATTTAATGCTGATGACATAATCTAAGCTCATTATCAGCTAAGTCTGTAATTCGCAAATTCATGAAAATAGAATAAATTTACTCAAGGACGCTCAGTGAGGCTCCAGCAAGTGCATGTGGCAATGCCGTTTCTATGCAACTCTTGTTTGCAACCTGCTCTCTTTCATAAACTTTAATTCATACCATTCATTCTTGTTTAGGTCGTAATATATTATGTGCGAATGTTTGGTTAATGATTATATAAAATTTTGTATATAAATGTATTAGCATGATGTATATTATGAGCAGGCAAGCGGCGATACAGCACCAAGCTTTGGAAGACGTTCACAGACTGCTTCAACTGCCTCCCCATCGCTGCCATTATAGACGAGAAAATCTTCTGCTGTCACGGCGGCCTCAGTCCCGACCTTCAAAATATGGAGCAGATCAGGCGCATCATGCGGCCTACAGACGTGCCTGACACTGGTATGTTGTGGTACTTCAGTTCAGCCAGCAATATCTCAATGTTACAGACGTGCCTGACACTGGTATGTTGTGGTATTTCAGTTCAGCCAGCAATATCTCAATGTTACAGACGTGCCTGACACTGGTGTGTTGTGGTACTTCAGTTCAGCCAGCAATATCTCAACCTTATCTTTTGATTTTGAGAAAATTTAGTGACTATTTTGAATATGTATCTAATAAGAAGTTTGATAATTGATCTAATAAGAAGTATTGCCAGGTTTGCTGTGCGATTTGCTGTGGTCGGACCCAGAGAAGGAGATCACAGGCTGGGGGGAGAATGACAGAGGCGTCTCCTTTACCTTTGGGGCGGACGTCGTGTCAAAATTCCTCAACAGACACGACCTCGACCTCATATGTCGTGCCCATCAGGTCAGATCTGTCACTCTCGTGAACAACATTAACCTTTTAATGAGTTACTGACCAGGCATTTCCGAATCAAAAGCACCACCTATAGTTAACGTATTTGTATAAAGAGTTAGAGGCCCTTGAATGGGATAGGCTCACAACCTTTTTTGTATGTTATAGAATCAGGTTATATAACCTTGTATTGGATTGTGTATTTGCTCTTTATTGTTGCTAACTCGCTTCGGCGCACCTATGATTTTCTGATAGTTTTTGTTAAAATATCTTAAGAGTATGATCAGAGTTCGAGGGTTCAGTTAATTTAATTGTCCGAAAGAGAATTATTTAAAGTGAATAATATGTTGGCATGTCAGGTTGTCGAGGACGGCTACGAGTTCTTTGCTAAACGTCAGCTGGTAACCCTCTTCTCTGCGCCCAACTACTGCGGCGAGTTTGATAACGCAGGCGGCATGATGAGCGTTGATGAAACTCTTCTCTGCTCCTTCCAAGTGAGTTGTGATAGACGCTTGTTAATACTTACCATCTTATATTACCAGCGTTGATGAAACTCTACGCTGCTCCTTCCAAGTGAGTTGTGATATACGCTTGTTAATACTTTGTATTACCAGCTTTGATGAAACTCGTCTTTGCTCCAAGTAAGTCACAATAGACGCTTAATAATACTTGATGATGAGCTTTGATGAAACTCTTCTCTGCTCCAAGTAAGTTCTGCTCAATATGCTGCAGGTCTTGAGCATTGTGTTTGTTATGGCAGCTTGATGAACGTTCATTTTCACTACTCTTCGCTTAGCATTACATTTTACATGATTTTAGTAACTAGAAAGTGAGCCCCAAATATGAGCTTTGAATCGAATTCTTTTTGAATATGTCGTGAAATATATGCAATTAGTTATGTACATGTATGATATACTGATTACATGCTACGATTCGTTTTATATTTATATGCTGGTGAACATTCAACTCGGAGTTGATACTGATTATAAATACATTTCAGATTTTGAAGCCTTCTGAGAAGAAAGCCAAGTATCAGTACAGCGGTCTGAACCGTCCTGCTGCCGCCAACCGCGCGCCCAAAGCTCCTGTCAGAAAATAGCTTGCACGTGCATGTAATTAGAAGTGCAGTGCAGGCTAGTCCTAACCTGCCATTAACGTCACTTATTAACTTAAGAGACAATACTTGATTGCTGACCTCTTGTCTTGCTGTCTACTCACTCAACAGACATGTTGATGCTCTGACCAAATTCATGTAATTCTGTCCACTTCATGATGACTATGACTGCACATGTGCTATTGTTGATTTATAGGACAAAACTTTAAATGTTATTAGAATAATATTTACAAATATTTTGTTACTAGAGTAAAGGTGAGTTAATCCTTCTGGAACTGTGGCTTTGATGTAGCAATAGTCAGTTGCGTAACGTCTTCGTCTGCTCTCAGCTAAGTCAGCACATATAAACAGAGTTAATTATTGTGTGGTGTTTATGTGGGCAAAACCACGCTGCGTGTTGACAACATCCAGCACCTGGTGTTTATGATTATGACCACACAACATTTGCAGTTCATTTCACTATGGTGTACACTTTGCCTCAAAACTTAATTTTAGAAGTTCATTTGATTGTTTGATATGTAAGGAAATGCTAAATGTTCTATGTATCCGAACCTGTTGTCTCGTATCTTTTGGTATTTCTTCATGTGGTGTGAGGTTGTTTAGAGGTGGCAAATGGTTTGCTTACTTATATGCAGCACGAAACAGAATGTATGTTTATACGTCAGCTACTTGAACATGTATACGCATGTTAGATACTAAATTATCTACGAAATCTTTCTCAGCAAGGCTGGTTACATTTCTTTACTTGATTTCTTCTTTGTATCTTGTATGTTATTGATGCCAAGCATGTAGCCCATCGCCGGTCATAGGAACATTGTTAACATAAAGCTTTTGCTGGTTTGTCTACTGTGTGCCTTCTGCTCTGTCTCGTAGCTCGTTCATCCCCCCAAGCCGTGGCGAGCAAATGGCGGCCAACATAGAAGAAAATAACGATTGCCTCTTGCATTAAATAATATGGTTATGAGTTCAATGTAATAAATTCGCATTCGTCTTCTATTGAGACAGATGCGATTCTGTCTTTTGGTGAAGGCAACAATGAAATCATTGATCATTTGCTCTGAGTTGCGATGAAGCTATTAGAGGGATCTGCTTCTACCTGCAGATAACATGAATATTTGCTGTTGGTCACCTGAATAAATGGCAGGGCTGTAATGGGAAGCATTGCACGCACACGATTGCTTCTAAACTTGCAACAAATAACGTGATGTAATGGTGAATGTTGATAATGTGTATTTCTAAAAGGAAGTTAGACGTTTCAGCTTGTCTAGGTGCCTCAGTTTTGTGTCCAAATCGCTACCCAAGTACAATACTATAAGCGTCCCAGTGCAACAAAAGGCCATTGCATTTATGTAACGGATAGAGCATAAAATTAGTATGATGATCTACTATAAACGCTATTGTGATGATTCCTTTAATTGGTATCTAGTGTTTCTGGACTGTGTCCGCACCAGACCAACGACCTGACACAGGCGACCAGACCAACGACCTGATACAGGCGACCAGACCAAGCTAGACCACATGTAGTGCCTTCATATAGCAGCATAGCTGTAATGGAGCATCTGATATGCTCTAACGCTGCCTAATATTGAAGTATTCTTCGCCATTCAAAAGTCTTAGTATCGTGTCGCTACTTCCTCTATTGATTTCTGCTGATTTTTTGTGCACTGTTTCTTCTATTGGAAAATGACGCTCTTTAAGAAGAGAACTGCTCTATGAGTTTAATGTAAGGGTAACATTATGAGGTGCTTTACGTCCATCACGTGACCGTTTCCGTACTGCAGTTGCTTATATATAACAAATAGCATATGTGGTTCGTAATTGTACAAGTCATATTGGCGGTCCCATATGAGGATGCTTCATAATATATCGAGCTCTGTAATGCTCCTTTATTTCACAAATAGTGTAGCGGAGTTGTCCATGTAAACACATAACACATGCGTGCAAGTGTATGAACTATAGAGTATTATTATTAATAAATATATCTACAGGTCAACAATATTATTATCTCCCTTACTGCCATAACGCAGGCTACTTGCAATGGTGCTTCACTACTTGCGCGCTGCCTGACTCTCCTGCTCAACGACAAGCTCCAACCATGCAATTGAAGACCAAGCAATGAAGAGACTAATGCTTCCAGTGAGATGGGAGAAGAGTAGCGTATGGAGCAGTAGTGGCGTCCTAGCAGGCGTCTCCTCTCTAATGAGTGCGCCATGGGATACTGGCGTCTATGGGAGGCAAGAGCTGGTGAGATCCTATCCTCCTTGGTAACCATTGCTCCTTAACCACATTGAGCTCCATGGTAACCATTGCATCTTGCTGGTGAGCTCCTTGTAATCAACAATTGCGCATGCTCACAAGAGAACACAAAATACTCGACCTATTTTCCCCTAACAATAAAGGGCTGGTGGCTGATGAGTGATTTGAGGACAGCTCTGTCAGACCATCGTCTGATGGTCTGACCATCAGTCAGTGTGGCAGAAACAATCAAAATTCGAAGTCAGCCCTGGCCTACAGTGCAAGCTCGTCAATGCCGCTCTAATATACAAGCTATGCGAAGTATTACGCAGTGCGTGCGTCACCCGCCGAATATAACGAAACCCAAAAGACGCATAATTCATAGTCAGAAAAATCCTCATGAAGCGAATGCTTTTGAACAAGCGGGGCTATAGAGAGGCGAAGGCTGGTGCGTCAAAATGAAGAAATTGAAATGCAGCTTCGAGCCTCGCACGAGTCGAAAAATCGGAAAGAAGAGGAGAGAGCTGTTGGCACTATTATGAATAACCCAAAATATTTCAATAAATAAGTCCAGTTAGTAGACAAAACAAGGACTATTACGGGACTTCTGAGGTGCGCAATTTGAAAATGTCAGAAACCGACGTTATTCAAGAATACTCAATTGAAGTCCATGAGAAACTGCCAAAGGCTTGTGTTGATGAACATAGTTTAAATACCGGACCTGAAAAGCAGTATTCAACTATCTACTTGTTCGGCTTCGGGGACGGAAGCTGTCCCTGTGATATTGCTGTAAAATAATGTCTGAGCACAAACTGTGCAAAATTTTCGAAAGCCTTTGACGAAGTTGAATTGGAAGTGCTCTTCAGATATTGAGACTAGGTATTGTGAGTCAGAGGGTGGGTGTTGTCTTGGATCTGCAACGTCCTTTCATACCTATTTCAACCTGTCGTTTTTGAACTCTCGATTTCAAACGAGGCGAGGGTAAAAATGGAGTTCCATAGGGAACGGTGCTTTGTCCGATGTTCTTCATTGGTGGACATCGACATAGAAATGAGCCACGCCTCCACAACTTCATTTGTGTACCTACGATACTAGAGTGCTGATGACGTTTACAGGCTTGGTGGACTGTGGGGGTGCAGATCTGTACGGTGCGCAATATATGACTGTGCCCACGTGAGGAACGGCCAATTCAACAGGGTCGAGTATAAAGCTATGAGAGACATAGGCGACAAAAGGGTCGGGATTAAACACCGAGTTCGCGTCTGGTGACCACATAGCCGCAATAGCTGCGAGAGGCAGGCGTCTGACAGTGTGGATCTTGCGGACACTCGGAACATGAGAGGTTGAACCGAGGGTCACGCTCTTCAGGGACCTTGTCATCCCGCTACCCGAGTACTGCTGTCTACTGTTGATGCAGTGCAACAATTGGCAGAAGTTCAGCGAACTTTTGTGTCTGGGACATGAACTATTGATCGAGGCTGAAGCATTTGGGTCCATATTCGCTGCAACAGAAAAATGAAGCCGTCAAGATTGTAACGTAACACAACGAGAGAAGTGAAAGTGCAAGATACCCCAATTACGCAACAGAGCAATGCTCCAAGATTGATCTCTGTAAGGATCCCTTTGGCGAAGCCGAGGCTTTTTAACGCATCACTGATGAAGGTTGAGGAGGGAAGTTCACCCAAGAGGCTTTCAAGAGCTTGCGCCGGCTGTGTTCGCTTGCGCCGGCTGTGGCAGCAAGCAGACGCGTTCGCCTAGGCTCTGTTGATGAAATCAGATTTTATCGTTACTTAAGTCACGCCGGTGTATAATAATTTGCATCTTGTGCTGCAAACTACGTCATGAGTCGTTGAAAGTAAGTGCATATTGACAAATGATGTACCACTTTCGAGTATCTTTGAAGGTGAAACGTTGATCCTCCCTCTGTAGGCATCTATTACAGTTCAATACCCGATCAGTCAGCTCAGTTTAAATCTGCATGTGGCTATAAGCAGGCATACGTCGTCAGGCTCCATTCAATCTCGAATTTTCTCTCTGCTGTGCCTACGCATGTATACGAATCTGATACCCAAATTATGCTAACTGCGTCGCGTGTCGATGCGAGCGATTTTTGGCCAAGAGTTCTATACTTTGAAACAAATTTTGACGTCGGCTCGTTGGGCACTATGATCACACTGTAGGCATGCTCTGTAAGACACCTGATTGGTTAACCCGGGTTTAATCTAGCTGCTATTTATGGCACAAGTAACTTTTCGGCGAAGCAACTGCTGGGCCCGCTATCAGCTGCTGCAACTCTATTTTCGTCCGTCTGTGAGATGGACGATTTACTCATCGTGCCGCCCCTGCACCCTATACGTCTCATCGGAGGTACTGCGGCGGCTAAAATAGGCATATTGCTGCAACTTATCGGCAGCGGGCGAAAACGGTGCGTTATTTATCTATGGTAATAAACCGTCGCCACGGCAGCAAACATTTGTGCACAGCTCTGCGTCCACAATATCCGCTCGCTTAATAACAAGATAGACGAGTTTCTTGATTAACATCCATCGCTCACTCTTACTTGATGTCGTCTCCCTGGCCGAGACGTGGCGCGATGCTGCCTCGGTTGCCATCGCACGTCTTCGCGCTCAAGGACTCCCGTTATTCTAGCGGCACGGCGCCGCACGCGACCTGACACTCAAGCGACGCACCACAGCGGCTTGGTGATCGTTGCCGACAAAGGCGTGCACCTTACCACGCTTGTTATAGTCGCTCAACCCGCCTTATTTTGAGCTGCTGTGCGTTATAGGGTCGCTTGCGCCTCATTAACGTGCGTCGCTGCCATCATCTATCGTCCAGGATAGGCTGCTCTGCCATGTGAATTTTTCGTTAGATTATGTGATGTTTTCGCCAGACATATGACTATCACCCATGATTTAATCACTCGCCTGGATCTCGTCGACAACCCATGTGTCCATGTTAGAACCCACGTTCTAAAGTCCCTCTTCGGCATGGTTTGTCACGTGACATTACCGACGCATGACAAGGGCGCACTGTTGGACGTTGTCATCACGCGTGCTGACCTTCAACTTCTGCCCGTCGATATCATCGACACTGCAATAACCGACCACGGGCTACTTCAGTGGACGGTGCCACTGAATTATAATTACAGGCACCAAAGAGTCGACGCTCAGTGTAGCGACCTTTGAACGTATGGCGGTGGTTGAGCGCTCCGCCCTCGCTAAATAGACTAATTGAAGAGGTCATATCAATGCTCGGATACTGTGAGCGCTCATGAATTACTTAGGTGCTTTTAAAATAAAAGTTTAGCTGTGCGCGTGTCGTCCGCGATGTCTTGCGTGGTCTGCGTGTATCAGTGCTGTGCTGGTCCTAGTCATACCTCAGCAACAGATTCCATTGCGTTCGACGCGAGCACCCGCTTCTCCATCGTCGTCGGTGATCTGCGACCTACCACAGGGTTCAATTCTTGGCGCAATCCACTTTTTTATATACTGTTGACGTGTTGCACATAATTGTTTGGCATTATGTAACTTCACATTTATCTACCGAACTTTATCGGCTACTGTGGTCCGGCGGACAATGAGGCATTGCAGCACCAGAGGTCTCTACATGGACGCCGTCTCAGACTGGATTCGTTCCAACCGTCGCCAGCTCAATACATCCAAAACCGAAACGAGGCAACGAGTTCGTCACTCCAGCTTCTTTGGTTAGCAGCAATGGGCATTCAGCTGGACTCCATACTGTCTTTGAACAGTTCACATATCCAGAGTCACCATCGTCTGTTTTAGCACCCAGCGACGAATTTGTCCCTCGTTTTGACCAGATTGGCATTTTATGGACTTGCGATCACAGCTCTTGATAAACCGCGTTTCGTGATGAACGCCGCCACGCGACTCGGTATGTGCCACGCGAACATATGCTAGCGTAACACCTCGAAAACATCCAGCTCCAGCCCATGGCTCCAGCCATTATGAGTTTCCGCTGCCGTCAAGGTCACAAAGTCTGCCACTCTCCACCAACCCTAGCCACTCCCCACCAACCCTAGCCACTCCCCACCAACCCTCGCCACTCCCCACCAACCCTCGCCACTCTCCACCAACCCTCGCCACTCCCCACCAACCCTCGCCACTCTCCCCCAACCCTAGCCACTCCCCATCAACCCTCGCCACTCTCCTCCAACCCTCGCCACTCTCCCCCAACCCTCATCATAAGACATCCCCGTCACTCCGTCATCAATCCTCATTATCAGTGCGAGGGTCTGGTGACTGCGAGGATTGAAGCTGTCGTGTTCACCAACACAGAACGCGCGCACCGCTTGTGTTCACCAACACAGGGCGCGCGCACCGTCTGTGTTCACCAACACAGAGCGCGCACACCAACACTGAGCGCGCACCGCTTGTGTTCACCAACACAGAGCGCGCGCACCGCTTGTGTTCACTCATGCTCCATTCATTACCAGGATCGGTCATGTAGATATTCCACTGATATCCTTTGTTAACCGCCACATAACCGCCTTTAACACTGGTGGCCCAGTGGTTACAGTTCAGAGTACCAAGATTGGCGCAGAGAGGCGCGGGTTCGATCCCAGCTCTGTGCGCCAGTTTCTGGTCAGAATCGGCGAGGAGGCCGGGCGGTTAAGCACAGCAGAATTGAAGCAGTGAGTTGCGAGTTCGAGACAGCAAAATGATGTGAATGTTCTGCGATGTTAAGAATCGGCGACAGGCCTACTGCCTAATAAACGCTGAAACCGCTATTATTATTATTATATTATTATTATTTTATTCTTGCTCCACGCGCACCAAAATCTATAGGCCCCCTGTGGCAGTCGCACCAAATGTCTAGCTGAGCCTTTGGTCAGTTCTCTCTCGGGTGTCATTAAATTCACGCAGGTATCCCAAAGGAAATGTCTTTTTAGAGTTACTGTTCAAGTTTTTTGTGTCTCTGAGTTCAAGTTGTTTATTCTTCTCGTGCAGAATTAATTTTTTTGGTGAGTAAATGTGAACTCATTTTATTTAAAACGGCAGCATTTTGCTTAGTCATGGCCCACAGATCACCTTCTTGTGGACAAGTGTACTTTAATTTAATCAAAAGATGTTCATTTTTATACAATTCACCTCATCGTCTCCATGTCAACTCCTTCTCTGTAAGTACAACTAAACACAACTGCACCCTCTCTGCCAACCCTTCATATGTTCGCAACCGCCACGTCGTCACCTGCCCTGCAAACGTTGGCACCCACGCGGTATCGCTGCCACTTGCCATCACAAGTTACCTAACACCTCGCCACACACGTGTCATTATTATGGCAGCTGCCAGCAACAGTAACCAGTTACTGGGTGGAGCTTGCAGAGGACGCTTTGCAGCTCAGAGCACAGCCGCCATCTTGACTGACTCTTCATTGGGAGATTGTGAGCGTTTTCACAGCAGTGAATTACCTTCATCCGTCACAGTTGGTTCAGGCAGTCGGCAGTGCAGTCACAGCAGTGAAGTACCGTCACTCGTCACAGTTGGTTCCGGCAGTTGGCAGTACAGTCACAGCAGTGAATTACCGTCACCCGTCACAGTTGGTTCCGGCAGTCGACAGTGCAGTCACAGCAGTGAAGTACCGTCACCCGTCACAGTTGGTTCAGGCAGTTGGCAGTGCAGTCACAGCAGTGAAGTACCGTCACCCGTCACAGTTGGTTCAGGCAGTTGGCAGTGCAGTCACAGCAGTGAAGCACCGTCACCCGTCACAGTTGGTTCAGGCAGTTGGCAGTACAGTCACAGCAGTGAAGTACCGTCACCCGTCACACGTGGTTCACCAGATTTCCTATCGGCCAGCATAAGTGGTTCCTCATCTCGTCTTTCAGCGCGTACACGCGCAGAGCCAAATTCACATCGTTTCTTGACCGGTTCATGCGGTTCGCGGGCTCGTGCGTTCTCAACTGCTGCTGTCACTATGGAGTCGCTGCAGCAGAAGAAGGCTGCCTTCACGCCTCCCGATAACCTCGGCACCAAGGTTAGTGTTACTTTCCTCTTATTATCATCAGTATATGTATTTGCTTTATTAATAGTGATAACCGTTTTATTGGTACTGCCCTTAGTATTGGCATTTTCATCTCATTATTAGTATCACCATTACCTTGATTATTATTTGTATCATCACTAGCACAACATTATCACTGATCAGCTGTTACTGTTATTGCTGGAGATGAATAATGACTTTTATTGACAACATCAGAACTTGTTCGTGCAAGTGCGTGCTAATTAATCATAGTTAATTATGATGATGCGATGCTGGGAAGATCCACCCTGACCGCCAATAATGAAGTATCTGCTTCTCATGTCAATCCATTGCAAGGATTGAATCTTGTTTTGCTCGGCACTTATTCCTTGTTTCGATCTTTTGCGTCGCATTTTATTTCATAAATGATCGCATTTTTTGAGAGACCAGAAATCGAAGTAATGCATCTTAACGAAGGATAGAGGAATTTTTTTTTTCAAAAACAACTTTTTATTTAGTTGGGTGTCGAGAAAATTAACTGGATGCGTAATTGAAGTTATAGGAATAGCAGAGTTTGAGTAGCATTGCGCCTCGTGAATATGAGTTGCCGAGTAACCTTGAACGTTAGATGCCTCGGCCTCTGAACAGCATCGTAGATAACCTATCTGACCGCTCTACCTCACTGTTCTACCTCTCTGCTCTACCCCTCTGTTCTACCCCCCCTCCTCACCACGCACAAGGACGTTCTCACAACAAACCACGTCCTGTCAGCAGCGCCTGCACCACACACCCTGCCCCCCATGCACCACACACCCTGCCACCCATGCACCACACACACCCTGCCCCCCATGCACCACACACCCTGCCACCCATGCACCACACACACCCTGCCACCCATGCACCACACACACCCTGCCCCCCATGCACCACACACCCTGCCCCCCATGCACCACACACACCCTACCACCCATGCACCACACACACCCTACCACCCATGCACCACACACCCTGCCCCCCATGCACCACACACCCTACCACCCATGCACAACACACACCCTGCCCCCCATGCACCACACACCCTGCC